CTTCCTACTAGTGTCAATCAATATTTATGTTCATTTCCCAGTTGATGATTAGATGTTAGCTCATGAAATATTTGAATTCGGAACAATTAAAAAAAATTTAACAATGCATTTCCTTGTTAATACGTTCGGAGATTGAGAGAAATTGCATAAAATCAAATTCATGATTTGCCCACGAATTTAACGGAAACTATGTTATTGAATGCATTTTGTTCCTATTTCAGGATGGAAAAGCTGCACTCTCTCGTATATGAGGAATATTGAAAAACTATAAACTACAAGGCATGATTACAGCCAAACAATAACGTCTGAACATTGTTCATGCGGGAAAAATTGGATTTATCTGAGTCCGCCTGCCACTAACACTCTTGTGTACCGACCAAAATTAGCAGTTTAGAAAAATTGACCACACACCATCTACTGGTAAAAATTGCAATGTTGACGGGGCCGGACGTCATAAAGCAATTGCAGTAAAAGGCTTATGAGGGTTCGCAGGCAGAACCCTTTGCCAGTGATACTTTTTTTTTATTTCCCCTCATAATCACCCGTCGACAGCGTTGGCTATCTGGGTGGCTAACGACGAGCACAGGCATTTGCCGTCTCACTCGCACCTTCAGTGCCACGCGTATTCTTTTCTGATTTGTCAAATCCTAAGGATATTCGGCGGCCTCGCTGACACCTTTCCGTCCGAATGTAATTCAGTCTAACAGTACAGCTCGTATCGCACACTTGATTGGATCATAGTATTTTCTCTTCATCTTCGTATTAATTTGACGCGGATAATAAATCTGTAATTATTAGTTTAATTGCATTTGTTAGTGGATTGTTACCTTCCCGAATAAACCTCAATCCCTACAGGGGAGAGGGGTTTCAAAGAGGGGTGTTTCATAAAAGGGTGGGTTATCGTAGAGGTTATCCAAAAATATCTCCGGAATTAAGGGAGATACCTAATTTTTACGAAAATTTGGCGGGTGGGGGTGAGTGGGGGGTGTGTTGAGAATTCGCAATCGAAAAAATTGAGTCGCTGATTTTTTGGAAAATATCTCCGAAACTAAGGGAGATAGTGACAAAAAAACTCTACGAGAATTAGAATTTAGAGAGAAAAAATTTCCGCTTCACCCAGCCGGGAATCGAACCCGGGTCGCCCAGATACGCGCCGGGCACTCTTACCGACTAAGCTACCGGGAACCGATACCGATTTTTTATGAAAATTGGGGGGCAAGGGGGGGGTGGGCATTGAGAATTCACAACCAAAAAAATTGAGTAGGTCATTTTTTCAAAAATATCTCCGAAACTTAAGGAGATGGCGAATTTTTCTTCAAAAATTAGTGGGGGAAGGGGGAGGCAAGCTGTATTAAATTCTCGATGTAAAACACATACCCTCCCCCCTACTTTTTGGATAAATTTTTTTCCCAATTTTACAGTAAAAATTCGCTATCTCCCTTAGTTTTGGAGATATTTTCGACACTCGAATCGACAACTCACCGACTCAGTTTTTTTGGTTGTGAATTCTCAATGCACACCCTCCCCTCTTCCCCCCCCCTAATTTTCGTAAAAATTCGCTATCTCCCATAGTTTCTGAGATATTTTTGAAAAACTCAACGACTCAATCTCTTTGGTTGTGAATTCTCAAATCTCAAAAAAAAAAAAGGAAAAAATGTCGACTAACCATTTTCATGCGTTGTTGTGGAAAAATGACCAAGTACTTATTTATGGATAGTTGTTTCTGGGAAATTGAAAAAAGTGCAGAAATAAGGAAGAGCGCCAGTTCATGAAGAACTGATATCAGCCAAAAATTACAACAATGCATAAAAGCCAAGTTCATGAACTTAAATTTGTTATTTTGAAAAACCACAGAACTTTTCATGACATCAAGAAACATTTTCAGCTTTTTTCTACAGTCGGCTTGTACTGTTGCAAATTTTATAAGTTTGAACTCATTAATGCCAACTCAATATTGTCTATTCCTGTGAGTTACGGAGTGGGTACAACTGTAAAAAGCGTGGTTATTCACACTAAGTCAATGAAAAAGAGTGGAAATATAAAAATGTTTCTAAATGTTTCTTTAAAAAAAATTGTTCAGAAAATTCTCAGGCTCAACGTACTTGGCGCGGTTTTTTGAAACACTCATTGCAGAGATTTGTCGCTTTATGTTGACACCATGGATGAATGAACCTCCTCCATGCTTTTATGTCGCGAATGCCGATAACTGCCTAGCGATCACTACCTTAATTAATTTAATTTCTATTCATGAAAATGAAAATATTTGAAAATGGAAAAGAATAAGCTTAAGGCATTAACTTAAACTATCCGCCAATTGCATCCAACACAATCACTCAATTGACTATCTAAAGATTTGAACACATAGCAAGGTGTAGTATGCTCAAAGCAATTTCTGAGACCCAAAGTGGATCTCATATCTCATACAATAGACTCCCAAATAAGGATCCGCATTAAGATAAAAAAACCGCGCCAAGTACGTTGGTCCTGAGAATTTTCTGAACATTTTTCTTTAAAGGACCACTCGTATTAACACTCTTTTTCATTGACTTTATGTGAATCACCACAATTTTTATGATCGTACCCACTCCGTAACTCACAGGAATAGACAATATTGAGTTAGCATTGATGAGTTCAAACTTATAAAATTTGCAACAGTACAAGCCGACTGTAGAAAAAAGCTGAAATTGTTTCTAGATGTTATGAAAAGTTCTGTGGTTTTTCAAAATGAGAAATTTAAGTTCATGAACTTGGCGCTCTTCCTCATTTCTGCACTTTTTTCAATTCCCTAGAAACAACTATCCATAAATAAGTACTCGGGCATTTTTCCACAACGACACATTGGAATGGTTACTCGGCATTTTTTCAATTTTTTTTCTGAGAAACAATACAACTTTTTTTGTGAAAAAATACAATGCTTACGAAGGCGCACTTGGCCGATTTTTTCAAAAAGAATTTTTGTTTTGTTTTTGGGGAATTGTTCTCTTTAGATTCATATTTCTCGAGTTTCCTAGGCACGCGCCAGTCTATTTTTAGGTGAGAATCTAAGCATCTTGTTGTCAAGCCCAATGTAGATCGCATAAAACTACGTCTACAGATGATACATTTTGCTTCCTTTTTTTTCTCTCCTGATCGTTTCGCGTGATCGTCTTCCGATCGCGACACACACTGACCATTGGCTAAAATTAGAGAACAATGCTAATACCCGTGGAAAAATCCAGTCTAGGTATGACTATATCTCATCTGAACACCTAGCAACAGCCCTATGTCTCCAACCTATAAAAGGAAGAGCACAAGCCCAGTAATTCACTTCCAGTTGTACTTTTAAGCAACAATTACTGACTTTCGTTATCTCAGTTTCCTGATCCAACTTTTTATTTCAAAAACGTAAGTCAAATAACTAATATATTAAAATAAAAGTCAAAAACCTTTAAAAACTGCTTGCATGGCCATAGAAGCCTCATCATCAAAAATTATATTAAAATCAATTAAAAATTATAAAACACTCAAATTAAATTAAAATAGGATAAATGAGGAGAATAGAAGGAAATAACAAGTACATCGAATCCATTGTAATTTGAGAATATATTGTTGCCTTAACTGACCAACAGACATATTCATCGAATAAAGAAAATGTATTGGTATTGTTAACAAACTCTTTAAATTACATTGGATTAATCAATTAGTGTTCAATATCGTTTTAAGTATTGAATTTATATTTATTCAACCACTGATTGTACTATCACGAGGTGCCGGATTGGGTTTGATTAATTAAACACAATGTAATGATAACAATATTTAATTGCACTAACTAATGAATACACTTTAGGTATTGACAAAACGCGAATATAATAATTTGATTCACGGAGCTACTCTGTTGTACTTGGACACGTAAAGGTAACTGCCAGTGTCGACTTACTGATTCGCTGACCACTCGGTGGCAGTTGCCTCGAGTGGCGCGCTTGTCTCGCGGCTGTCCGTCTGTTATCTTCGTAATTGCGAACATACCGCCCGTCTCTTTCTCCGTTAATAGAACGAAACAGCTCTGTGTTCTGAAACAATCTTGAAAAAGATCAATTTTGTCAACAACAAGAGGTTTATTCCGTTAGGGGCGGTTCACCGCCCACCATGATATCTCCAACCCGCAGCGGGATTAGTTTCACGATGGGACGCGCGTGTACGTGGAGGTGCGCGTCCTCAGTTTCACCGATCTGGGAGTCAATTCTCGAGTCGGTGAGTGACTCAGCGTATACGCTCGTCTCATCTATGGACTCCCTGATCTTACCATCCTCGTCTGGGTGGAGTTCCATGACTCGTGCCAACGGCCATATGCTGAGGCGAGTTAGCAAGTCCTGGTTGGGTACGACGTTGTCGATTTTCAGGTTTTGTTGATCTGTTTTCTACTTCTGACGGGTTTGCAGTGCGTTGAGGTATTCATTTCGCCATCGACTCCAGAAGTTCTCGTTGATGCGTTGGATGAATTCCCATCGGGACAGTCTGTTGATGTTCTGGTCCAGCGTTGAGTCTGTTGGTACCGCATTCAGGGGTCTTCCAGTCAGCAGATGTCCAGGAGTCAACGCGGCAATGTCTGCGGGGTTATCGTGGAGGAGTCCGATGGGTCTGGAGTTCAAATTACACTCAATTTTGCAAAGGAGTGTCGTCCATTCCTCGAATGTTGGTGTACAGTCGTTGAGGAGTCTTTTCAGTAAGTTTTTTACTGATTTCACTCCTGCTTCCTACAATCCAGTCGCGAGGCTGTTCTGTAGCTCTGGGTTTTGCTGGAGTTGGTCCATTTTCTCACGTAGTTTGCGCTCTGCTCCTTGGAAATTGGTCCCGTTGTCGCTGTAAAGATCAGATGGCAGTCCACGACGCGATACGAAGCGATCCAATGCGGCCAAGAATTTTTTGGTGGAGTAGTCGGACACTATTTCCAGGTGTATGGCTCAGGTGACCCTTGTATGACTCATGTCCTCGACCTCCGGTGGTATCTGATATACTGGTGATTACTGGTGATTACCGGTGGTAATCTGATGTACTGGATTTCTATCGAATCTTATGCACTTTACGCATTTGTGGATGTGGCTTTTGACGAGTCGTCTCGCGTTTATAATCCAGTATCGTTGTCTCAAAGTGTTGAGGGTCAACTGTAGTCCGCCATGGAGTGTCCTGCGGTGGGTGTCATCGATGATGAGGTCGGCAATTCTTCCCGCTGGCAGTCTGATGGGGTGTCTTTCATCATACAGGATCGAGGCCTTGGTAATGCGGCCGTCCACTCGCAAGATGCCCTTGGGATCTACGGCAGGATTTAGACGTAGTAGTTTGTCCTTCGGGGAGAGTGGTTGCTCCTTTTCCAGCAATTTTAATTGTTTTTCGAAGCCATCAGCTTGTACTTGGCGGATCCAGAAGTCATGTGCCTTTCCCAACAAGGCCTTAAGCGTTAATGTGGGGTGATTTCGTCGTCCGTTCAAGAATTTCTCACAGTATGCTGTGATCCTGCGAATTTTTTGCCATGATGAGCACCGAAGAGGAAGGTTTAATATCTCTCTAGTCGTGTGATAATCAATCACCTGTGTGGCGCGACTCGCGGTACAACCGGTGAGAGTTTCAGCCTCGTCTGCAACTGTTTGAATAAGTGGATTATTTATTTTGTTGGATTGAAGCCACCGACCTGATTCAAGTTTCAGCCATCTGGGTCCACTCCACCAGAGCTCATGGGCAACCAGTTCCGCTAGAAGTACTTCGCGCGAGGCGCAATCTGCAGGGTTTGATGAGGTTAGCACGTGGCGCCAGTTTGCTGTTGGAACTCGCGTCTGAATGTCGGACACGCGATTCGCGACAAAGGTCGGCCGGTGTGATGAATGTTTTTGCAACCATGCGAGGACGATTTGTGAATCACTCCAGGCGTACATGGGTACTGCGTCCAACTCCATTGTGTCCTTGACTCTCTCTAGTACTCGGGCTAGCAGATGTGCAGCACACAGTTCCAATTTGGCGACTGTTTGGTGTTGGATTGGGGCAACCTTGGACTTGCCTAGGAGTAGTTTGACCTCTACCAGACTGTCGTTATGTCCAGTGGTTCTCAGGTAAACCACTGCGGCATACGCTTGCGTTGATGCATCACAAAACCCATGCAGCTCTAATTTCTGTGGGTTAGGTGTCCAGCCGATGTATCTGTCGATGCTAATCTCTTGGAGCAGAGTTAGCTGGGCCTGGAACGCTTGCCATTGGTTGTGTGTTGCTTCTGGAACCTCCTCGTCCCAGTCCATTCCAAGTAACCACAGCTCTTGAATGAGCATTTTCGCACAGATTGTCGTAGGGGTTAGCCACTCAACAGGATCGAAGATTCTAGCGATTGTAGAGAGTAATACTCGTTTTGTCTCCTATCTCGGGTTGTCCGCTGCGACTGAGAACTTGAAGACGTCGAAGTTCATGTTCCATTGAACACCGAGAACCTTCACCGTCTCCATCTGGTCTAGTAGAGATGTGGAATTACGCGCCAGTGACTTGCGTGGGACTGACGCAAGACTCTCAGGATGACTGGATCCCCTTTCCTTAGGTTCATTCCTCCTGATTGTAACAGTAATTGTAATTCTTCCTGAATTTCTCTCGCCTCCTGGATGGATGATGCTCCAGTCAGGACGTCGTCGATGTAGAAATGACTTTCGAGTATCGCGGCTGCGCGGGGGAATCTCTCGCGTTCGTCTTGGGCCAATTATTTTAAAGTGCGATTGGCTAGGTACGGGGCTAGTGCTGTACAATATGTTACTGTTTGTAGGTTATATGATTTCATTTCCTCGGAGCCTGCTGGTTGCCACAGGATTCTCTGGAGGTGTCTTTCCCCAGTGGTCACGAGAATTTGTCAGAACATCTTCTCAATGTCGGCGTGTAGCGCGATTGGGTGGATTCTCCACTTCAGATTTACATCTAACAGGTCGGGCAACAGCTGAGGTCCGACGTGGAGATGATCGTTAAGTGTCGATCCGTTGGTCGTGCGACTGGACGCGTTGAAAATGACTCTGATCGGCGAGGTTGTGCTGTCTTCGCGAAGATCTGCGTGGTGGGGCAAGTACACTGACTTCTGACCGGGTTGCTCACTCCTTGGTGACAACGCCATGTGTCCCAAGTCTAAGTACTCTTGCAGGAACTTGTCGTATTCGCCTTGGTGTTGTGGTGTAGTTCGAAAGCGACTCCTCTGTCTCTCGAGGCACTTTCTCGCAATGTTGTACCACTCTCCGATATCGAGAGGTAACACACTATTTAGTGGGAGGTGTACTGAATATCTTCCACTCTTGTCTCGCGTGTGTGTACCCTTGAAGTGGTCCTCGCACTTCTCATCTTCGTTACTCAGGCCGATGGGGACTGAGAGTTCTTCCAGTTCCCAGAATTTGCGAATCACGTTCTAGAGTGTTTCCCTGATTATGCAGTGATTCACTGACGCATGTACTCGTTGGTCCTGGGTTCGGGTAGTGGTTTGTGGCCCAGAAACTACCCATCCGAAGATCGTCTCTTGTGCCATGGGTGTCTCAATCGATCCCTTTCGTATTCCTTCCAAGATGATGGCCGGGTAAAGATGCGCTCCAACGATGAGGTCGATTTTTCCGTCATCAGTGGGGTTGGAATCTGCGAATTTCAACTCACGCAGATGGTGCCAAGCGACCTCGGTGGGTTGTCGGCGTGGAGCGTAAGATGTGAGCTTGAGCAGTACGTGAGCGATGAGGAACAGTGACGGTTCTTTCGCATCATGGGGTCCTATCGCGTACGAGATCGCTGACTTACATACGGCTGTTTTATTTCCATTGACTACAGCGATGGAAATGTTAACCTTGATTCTTGGACCGCGTAGGACTTAGCTCGCAGACTCACTGATGAATGACAACTCGGAGCCTTGGTCAAGGAGGGCTCGCGCTGTGATCGAGCATCCGTCAACGGTGCGTAGGCGTACACGGGCTGTCGCGAGGAGTACGGAGCTGATTGACGGGGTCAGCTGGTTGCTTTGACATACTGTTGCGTTCTTCGTTTCTTCGTCTTCATCAGATGAGTCGCTGCTTTCGCTGTGTTCCTCCAAACAGGAATTTTCCTCGTCACTGCTAACCACTTTGGCATGAGCAGCTTTGATCTTGGTCTTCTCGGTTGGATATTTTGCTGGAGATGAGCAAAGTAAATAAGTAATACCGATTCTGGCGCAAACTTTTAGCGGAGACCTAGTCGTTGGGGCCCAGTAGGGAGTCAGATCAAAGTGGGTGAGTGGTTGATTAATTCGCGGATCCGCGGTTTTAATTCGCAGGTCAATTAATTTGATTCGCGGTTTTTTCGGTCAAATGGGGCTCAATTGATGACTTGTCAATCCACCCCCGCGAGGGAGTGGGTGAAAGGGTTGATTACTCCATGGGTCAACGTGTAATTCGCGGTCCGATCCGCGTTTACTCTAAAAATTCACATCGATTAGGGATTTTAGTACTTCTATGTGGACTGGATGGGAATATCCATACATAATTTTGAAGGGCATTTTATATTCGTTAAAATGGTGTATGATAAATGTTATTTACTCCAATTTTCATTGAGTTCTTGTGAATTATTTCCATTTTTCACGTTAAGTCACACCTTAAAAATGACAGTTTTTACCATTTATCGAGGCCTTAGACTTGACCAACGGGGATTTATCATATGTCAATTTGAAGGTCTCATCGAGATCATCAAATTGATACCTTATATTATCTGCTCCATCACCTAAATCAATTGTTATAAGCGATAATGTAGAGATTTTAGCATGTCACATTTTGAAAATTCCGTGTTTTTCCTCCTAAATAGCAAGATTTGCTTGGTTTCTATTGGAATATGTGGAGATATTCCATACCTAGGTGAAAATCTATCTAATCGCCTATGAATTAACCGCTGATTTATTCAATTATTTTCAATTTTCATTAACTTATGAAAGGTTCTATCCAGAGAATGACATTTTACGACTTTACTGTAAATTCAGCCTGGATCGGTTTTTTCTGCAACTATCGGTCGAGCTAGTTAAACAATTCATACACCATCCCAAAGAATATTTATCATTCTTCGAAATGATGCACGACAATTCTGATCCAATGGAATTCATATCCATTGTTGCAGATTGTTTCCATTCTTTACGTTATGTCACACGTAAAAAATTACAGTTTTTACCGTTTATTTAGGGTTCAGATTTGACTAGAAAGGATGTCACATGACAACTTGATGGTCTCATCGAGATCTTCATATTGATACTTTATATTATCCATTCAATTCACTAGATGAATTGTTATAAACGATGATGTAACGATTTCAGCATGTCACGTTTCGAAAAGTGCCAATTTCTTCCTCTCAATGACGAGACTTTCTCGGTTTCTGTCCGAATCTATAAAGATATTTCGTACTAAGCTGCAAATACATTGAATTCAGCAGGTTCCTGATTCATTCATTTATCTGCAATTTCCATTCATTTATAAAAGATCCTATTCAGAAAATAAATTTCCATGATTTTGTCGTAAAGTCAGTTTGGATTGAATTTTCTTAAGTGAATGAAACTCATCATATACCACTTTGAATGGTATTTATTTTTCTTCAAAATAATGCATAATATTTCTGATTCCCAATAGGACAATCCGTAATCGTGACGCTGGTCCTTTTTCGGGTTTTCATGCTAATTCCGTTCTCCCTGTTTGATAAACCATATATGTTTTATACTCAGATTGATAAGGGAATTATTGGATACTGGTCATTTCTCATTCTCACTATGGAACTTATAGGCAGAAAATTGTTATTTTTCTTCATTTTTTTCTTTTATTGCAAGAAAATTGTTTTTTCGCGTCTAATTTGAAAATTTAACTTTGGCTGGATTTTTCTATCTCTTTGAGTTGTGACGAAATTCCAGACGAATTCGTCACCTGCGGAACTCCAGGGTATTTATGTATAGAAAGTGAGAGAGAGAGAGAGAGAGAGAGAGAGAGAGAGAAAATTTATGAACCGTTACCTTTTCTTCGCGATAAAAATCTATACGAAAGATTAGAGCTACCTGCTACCTTAACTCTATTTCAGAGCTACCTTAAGTTCGGAGAACTACTTAAATTGGTTACCTATCGCGTGAATCGATTCCCGAAATTTTTAGGATAATATTCATTAAATAACTTCATTAAATAAACCAGATATTTTGCAGATATTTCTTTTTTCGAGTCAGTTTTGTTGAGTTAAAGTTTAGTAATTTTGAGATTTTCCTACGTAAATTCCGTTAAGGATCAGGATATCACCGTGGAAAATTTGGCCAAGATAATGTGCTACCCAGTGTTTCCTGTAACCCTTTTTGGTTTGTCGATAGTGTGAGTACATAGGTCGAGTTGAAATGCTTGCGCTCCCTTGAGCGAGAGTGTTAGGGCTTTCAGTTGGAAGGCCGTGGAGACGATTGCCCAGTCGTTGAAACGAATCGCCATTGGGCTTTTAGTTTAGTTAAGTTTGCGTTTGAGTTTTCGTTGGTAAAGTCCTAATTCCTCTCCGGAGTGTGCCCTCTATAGATAAGCTACCTTATTCCGGTCGTAGATGGAGTGAAGACCTGCTCAGCCATCTCAATTTCGCGTTGAGTTCAAGTCATTATAGTTTTGTTCAGTTGAAATGATTAGAATCAATTATATGAAAATTCAAATTTAAACGTTCAAATATTTCGCGCTCAATTACCCCGGGAATCGATAGTTCGCGTCTCCGGCACTCGAGTCAGCACCGTACGGGGCTAGTCTCCCCCAGACCCCCCACCACTATACAACAGGCCCGAGCGGACACACACGATAGTCGCCATTACAGTATCCACCCGGACGACTAAGAGTGAGGTACGAGTCGATTTAGCTCCGTGAACAAGTTCTCTTTCGAGGTGATTATCGAGGCCCCGTGATCAAAATTCAGTCGAAATCAATGCTCCAGACCATGGTAAGTACTCGTGTACTTATTTAGAGGTGATTAACAGTGAATTAGTGCGTTTTTCGGTAAAGCAGTTGGACCACGCTGAATGGCGTCGCTACCTCTCGGAATGACGCCAACACCGATACTCATGGTTTGAAGGGTAGAAAACCCTTCAAACAAACCCAAATGCTCCCTGGAAGCTACCTGAAATTATTTGAATGATAATTACGCTACCTGAATAAATCCAAATAGTAATAATGCTACCTACCGGAACTTTTGGGCTAAATTTCATGCTTTATGCGTCTCGCTACGGCGATTGATGCAACTCGCTACCTGCTTCATTGCTACCTTTTTGCTTGCTACCTTTTCTCGCTCTCTTTACGTAATTATT